TGCAATTAGATTTTCTGAATTATGATCCTTCATGTTGGCTCTAGAACTCTGGAAGAACAAAATGTCTGAGGAAGCATTATTGTAATATATATATATATATTTCTATGGCGGCTGTTTAATGGATTATTTCCTTTACCATATAACCTTTGCAAATTCAGATCTTGGCTTCCTTCTATTTGGATTTTTTCAGTTTTGCAGCTATGCGCAGGCTATTTAGAACCATTTTGGAGTCCTACTTCTGGGCAATCATTGACCTTTTTCTTCTCTTAGGCAATGCATGTTTACTTGGTGGGTTTTGCATCCAAACACTCACTAACAGGTATGTATAAAGCTGTTATTCCTAATGTCATTGTTTGGTTTATATGGGTGGATTATTTTGAGCACATCTAGGGCTCCTCAAGAGTAAGTAGCAGCAACATTATTACAAGAATCACTACTTATATGCAGACTTTCTGTTGGAGTAAACGTAAGCATAGGGGTGGTCACAAATGTATGAAGTTGGTGGATGTTCACTTGCTGCCACACTCCTTCCTGAGAAAGACTAAGTAAGACTAAGATACAATGCTGGAGGAAACCTTCATCTCACTTTACAAAGCCTTGCTCATATGAGATTGACCTTGGTACTACCACTGGAAGAGTTGTTGGTCTCTCTTGAATTGATGTTTTTGACAACAAGGTAAGTTTAGGGTCTGTTTGGTAAAGTTTGTTTTGCTGATATAGTTAATTAAATCTGTCCAACTGTGTGATGCAGGAGACACACATATATCATTGACATGGGTGCCCCACTCAGTAAATTTGGTAATCTAGTTTTGAGCTTCCTCAATTGGTAGTTATATTCTATGAGCAACATGGTTATCTTGTTTATGTTATATCAAGTTTTTAAAGAATGATCTGATTACAGACATGCAATGCATGTATACCTAATGAGTAGTACATTGTACGTTTTGGATTCTATTACCTTATAGGTATAGAGACAATAATGACACTGCTTGTATGTAGTAGGGTGTTTTTTCTGGTTTTTTATTGTTTACAGATAGAGTAGATGATTAAGCTCCGTTTTCAAATTTCTCTCAAATGTTAATGGTGCTAATCTAATGTTTATATTCCTGTACATGCATGCTTCTCCAATACTTTATGTTTTGCATGGTTCTAATAATTTATTGTTTGTTATCCCTCTCAAAATTTTAGGTGGAGATTTAGAGATTTTATTCACTAATTTGCCATAGAGAGGAGTGGAAAGGTATTCTCTTCAGCACTTCACTTTCTGAATGAGACTATATAGTATTGGCATGACTTCGGAAATTTAATAATTTTTCATAAGAGTGTATTCTCCTTGGCCTCATGCCTCCCTTCTGCAGTTCTGCTACTCCTGCTCGCCTGCGCAGCTTCTCTCGACCCAGCCACCCAGGTAAGGTTTTTTGTTTTTTACAATTTTTATTTTAATTGAAGTAATTTATTTGTTATTTTAGTTTGTGTTAGTGACTTGGTGTGTCATTTAATTCATTGGTGTCGTTGTGTGCTTTAATTTGTAAAATTGAAAATTAATAATGACGAATGTGATTTTTGAAATTTCTTAAAATATTAATATGAATTATGGAATTAAAAGTTTGATTAGTTTTGTATTTTTTCCTAAGTTTAGTAGGTATGGCTACTCAATCTACTTCCAAAAAGGAAAAAACGACAAAAGTTGAATGTCTCAATTGAAACTCCTAATATCTCATCCGTTCAAGAGGAAGTAGTTTCTGATGCACTTGTAATTGAGCGAGATCCGAAAAAATGAAAAAAGACAAGAGATGAAATTATATAGTGTTTTTAGTTTATAGTTGCCCCCTAAACATCCATCCTGGCTATGCCCCTGCATGTTTGTTAAGTTAGTCTTAATAAACTACTCCATGATTTAATCGATTTAGTGGCCTGGTTTGACTTATTCGGTTGTGTGTTTTGCTTTGCAGTTGGTTTTTTAAAGTTGAAGTACATTTTAGGAAAGGTGAGGAACTCGTAAGTCGTACTAGCATTAGAAAGCCTGTAGCAATAAGTACAATGAATACTTTTAGAGTTTTAGCTTATAGTTGAAGAGCATAGCATGTCTTTATTTTCTTTCAGTAACATAGTTGCTAAACTGGATATTATCAGTGGCTGATTAACTTTATTCATTAAAATTTGTTTCACAATGAGTGTTAACTTTTTCCATATCAGTTAACAAGTAAGTTCTAGTTTAGAATAAGTGATGTCTTTATTTTAGTCTTAAATATTGAATTCTTAGTTTTGAATTTTTTAGTCTTAGTATCTATTATAACTGTTATGCTTAGATTAGCTATTGTTTTATGAATTGACAATTTGAGCTCAGATGAATGAATAAGTATTGTTGGATACAATTGCAGATGGTTTGAACTTTGAACGTGTTGCAGAGATTATTATTAAAGTACCTTCACTTCGGGCTGCAATATATACGAAGTACCTTCACTTCGGGCTGCAGATGGTTACGAAGACTCATTTTCTAAACGCGGTGATATAGAATCAAAGTGCATGGATGTAAACGTTATATACAATAACTTTGTGATAGATTAAGTTCTATTTCAAGATTTATTTTTCTTTTTTTGACGTTGAAAACGAAGATTAGATTTTAAATGTCAATGATTAACTATGTTTTTGTTGTGCAAAGTCTACTTGTGGGTGTTCTTATATTAATTTATTAGTAGTTGTATTATATTGTATTGTTATTGTGCTATGCATTATGATTATGTACAGATATTAAATAATAATGAATATGAAAGTAAACATTAGGTTCACTAAAGCATAATTACTTGTAGCTACACATAAAAAAGATTTACCAACATTCAATGGGAATTTTTACCTACACATACTCTAATTTTTAGCTACACATGAACAATTCCACGTCATTGCCCACGTTATTGAAATCTGCCACGTCAGCATCAATGCAATGTTCCACGTCATCGTACACGTCACACACAAATGGCCATGTCATATGCCACATCAGCGTCCATGTAATGCTCCACGTCAAAATCCTTGTCATCATGCTGGTATTTGCCCACACATAGTATTAGTTTTGCCCATACAAGAATGTGTAGGTAAATAACGCATAATTATCCACACATAATGCCATGTGTGGGTAATAAGTTTTACCTACGGTTTGATACCCACACATCGTTACACTTAGCATATGTGTAGGTAAATCGTATTCCCCACACATAGACGTATATTTACCAACACATATGTGTGTGGGTAAAACCTCTATTTTCTTGTAATGTTTACTATCCCCTCAGATGATCTACCCCTCGTCACATCCGGTTCTTACTGAGAAGACGGGGGACACTTATGCCTAGCCCCGGTCATCCCACCCCACTACGCCGCCTCGCCAAATCAAGACCAAGAGGAGGAGGAGGACCCCCACCCTCCAATACGATCATTTGTGTTCACCGGATGATCTCTTCATACGGAGAGGTAGGTTTTATTATTTGAACCTTCCGCTGTAAAGACACATTTATTTACTGGCTGTCTAGTAGACTCGATGTGCTTGAACTATATTGTCGTCGTGTAAACATTGACTTATCTTTACCCAGGAACCGTCCAACTTTTTTCTGTTCTCAAGGGTATGCCCGTTTTGGCCATGGGTCATCGTCCTCGTTCTTTAAGAGTTTCTAAACAACTGATTCTATATAGTTCTCCTTTGAATCGACCCCCTTCTCTCTCACATAGGTGATTCTTTCACGAGTATCCCGCATACTCTTTTAATGTTATCAAGCATATCAACATTTCAGAATCATTAAAGCAAACATTTTTGCTAACCTCGTGCGGGAGTCACAGTTTCATTGAGGAATGGGTAGGAGTTCGGGACCCCCACAATGACCATCCTTCGCTCTATAATTTAATAGTCCTTTTTGGACCAGGAACAACTAGGTTGGGTGTCCACTATAGAACTTTTCAATTCACGGGTGATGAGGTATATTCCCGTATACCCCAGGGGTACCGCGATCGCCGGTAGAGAGCCTTGCGGGTTCATCGGAAGCAAGAAAATACTAAGCCCACATCTGGATCCGACCCCGACCACCGAGGTCGGGAAGCACCAAGTTCAGGAATCAAGTAGACTCAGCAGATAACAGAGTCCACCGACCCTGACCCCGACCTCGAGGTCGGGAAAAACATCGAGCTCAGAAGCCAACTAAACTCGACGATTCATGAGCCCGACCTCGGGACACCCGAGGTCGGCACCAAGTCTGACCTCGGAAGTCTCGCTCCAGGTCAGCGTCAATCAAAGCACTAGGCGGTCAAACCACTTCCAAAGCAAGAATGGAAGACAGCAGAACGAATCCTCTCAACATGGGTCCGAGCCCCCAGATACCGACCTCAGTAATCCTCGAGGTCGGGAGAAGAGCACCCTGTACTTGGACAAAATTCACAAGGGGTTAATTCATGAGGAAACATCGCCACGTCACTCTACGCACTGACGAAATATACCAAATTGTCCGCATACGGCTACACGGGATCTTTGGCAGGATTTCTGTTAGAGGAATGATCAATCAGCCAGCTACCAGAAGCTCTCTCTCTCCAATCAACTTTCCACGTGGCTGCTCCCGCTCCATTTAGTCTGGTAGTTTGTTAGAGTAGCTTTACACGTGTTCCTCTCCTATTAGACTAATATCTTTTTACTTGGGCATCAAGTATTTCCCTTTCTCCTTAGTATAAATATCACCTTCCAACTTGTGGAAAGGGATCGATCAAATTTTAGAGGCTTGAGCTTTTATCAATCACACTCTGAATTTCATATTGTGAGACTTGCAAACCAGTTCGCTCTCCCTATTTCCTTTCTTACTCTCAGTGGATTCCGGCCCCCCTGGTCCGATGATCCATCAACGGGCTTAATTTAGTCTCATTCCTCGTGACAACTTCTCCAACAATTTTATATCCAATGCCTTGGTTACAAGTCACACAACTCTCTATATATATATACTAAGCTCCAGCCTCAGGGCACATTAAGTACGTACACTTTGTGTGAATGTGGTTTCCGTTACTAGTCGCTGTTAGGTTGCATCTTCCATCTTTTCTCCGCCTCATGCTTCAATTCATTAATCGTCACTGCATGCGCGTTCAAGTGTAAGCAATTAATAATTAATTAATTACGTATATATATATATATTCGGATCAGTCCGTGAATCAATTATATTAATCAATTAATTCCTTAAGATCGAGACTAGCTAGCTTAACATGCTAGGAATGAAAGATTCATATATATATATATATATATATATATATATATATATATATATATATATATATATATATATATATATATATATATATATATATATATATATATATATATATATATATACACATGTACGGAGTATGTATGTATATAACATATGAATGAACAAAGGAGGACATTCCGATGTTTAATTAGCTTGTTGATTGTTTGGATAAAAAGATGAATTAATTAATTTCGAAATATGTATAAACTGTTTTGCAGGTAGTATATACATATATATATACGTACAATAAATAAGTAAATGTATACTCCATCAGCTGATGGGTACGTATATGTATGAATAAAGATCAGAGGTGAGGGATGATGAGACGAGGCGGCGGAAGGGAGGTTGTTGCTCTGCTGCTTTGTGGATTTCACCTCTTTCTTCTCACAGCTTCCAAAAGGCAGTTAGGTTTTCCTCTCCTTTTTTCTTTCTATCCATCGCCTCTATCTTTTAAATTAAAATACGTAGCTAAAATATATGATACTGCACTAGTTTTAGTTAGGCAGTATTACTTCTATACTAAAATTAAAATAAAACCCGTTTTTTAAGTTTTACATTAAATATTTGAAATGGATATTTTCAACTAATAACTTCTACTTGATTCATCACTAACGAGATAAATGGTTGGTTCCCTTCAATCCGCTATTTCTCCAAAGTGAAAACGCTGCATTTTGCAGCGGTTAGATCCAAATCCGCCGAAAAACAAACAGGGCAAAAAACTCGAAGCAGGTGAAAGATTGTTGGGAAAAGTACGAAAAATATACTTGTGCTTGAGACCGTTTTCAAATAGGGTCACGGGTTTTATTCTTTATCAAAGTAGTTCATGTGTTTGAATTCCGTTATCACAAGAGGATCACGCCGTTAAAAACGTCTGAAAAAGACCATTAAAAGTAACTCTGATTTTCAAAAGTGCCCGAAAAATTAAAAGAAAAATACCGAAAGATGCGCCTCGTCAAGATGACCTCCAAACCACCTTCGCTTTTGGACTTTTCAGATCAGTTTGAATCATATTTTAAAAATGATTTCGCTAATATCATTTTTCCGATTGACTTTCTAGTGACAAGGGTGGCTGAAAACAAAAAATAAAGATGACCTAGCGGTCGTCTTATTAAAGCGCACCTTCTGGTATTTTTCTTTTGATTTTTTGGACACTTTTGAAAATCGGAGTTAATTTTAACGGTCTTTCTCAGACGTTTTTAACGGTGTGACCCTCTTGTGATAACGGAATTCAAACACATGAATCGCTTTGATAAAGAATGAAACACATGACCCTATCTTAAAATGGGTTCAACCACAAATACCTTTTGCGTACTTTTCCCAAGATTGTTTTAAATTGGTTTTCGATTTCTCTATTACACAAAAAAACACTTTTTATTCTATTCCCTCCGTCTCCTTTTAAATGTCCCGTAAGAGGGTGACATGAGTTTTAAGAAAAGTAGGTTTGTGTGGTTGATATTAATAGATAAAGTAAGAATAAAGTAAGAATAAAGTAAGAATGATTTTGAGCCACACAAACTTTACCAAATAAGGTATGAGACAATTAAATAGGGACATCCCAATATGGTAAAATGGGACATTTAAAAGGGGACAAAGGGAGTATTACTTTTTCAAAATTACCCTTTTCTCAAACACTACAAGCTTATTTCCATTATTATTATCGTAAAGAATAGCCCTTTTTTAACCGGGAAATTTGCAGATTAGAAAGTTTAAGTAGATATTAATCAATCCATACGAAATATATTATTTGCATGATTATTGGTTAAAATTGATACTCACTTCGTCCCAATTTATATGTCTTACATTTCCCTTTTGGGTTGCCCCAAAGTTACTTTATTATACTCAAATCACAATCATAACTCTTACTTTTTCAACCACTTTATTAATAATTATGTTAAGTCAAAGTAGGACACATAAAATGAGACGGAGATAATACTATAATACGAAAATAGTATGAAAAGGTTGTGAATCGAAATTTTATTCATAGATGCAAAATGCTCTTTTTAGTGTCACATTTACTCAAAATAAAATTCTCCATATATAGAATACATTATTTTAATAATATTTATCTATTGAACATTGTTTGACACTATACATCTATAATAGTGTAAATTGGTAGAATTTATTTACCAAATAAAGAAATAAGATTTTATTTAGAAACATTCAAAAAGAAATGCCAGCATGAAATCTTCAAGGGAGTATCATCATGCACATAATATATATGTAGATAATATATATGCACATAATAATTCATTTATTAGTGTATAAATATATGTATGTTTAATTTATCCTTGAATATGAGGGAGTATTAAAAAATAACTTGTACACGGACGGTCAATACTTTGGCATTCCAAAAAGGTGTAATAAAATGAATGAATGGGCGAATAACAATGTTTTGTCTTGATTGATGATGTATATGTTCACGGGGTAAAAGTGTGTTCGGTCCAATTATTTATTCTGAGCACCCCTCCCTCCTTCACACAATGGGCGTCTCGTGAACCATCTTTAAATGTACTCCGCGCCTCTTATTATTGCATGTTCCCGAGATACAGTTGCACCCCACAGACTGTTACCATTCCCCAATATTATGCATAATACAGGGAGGGGCAGTGTTTATTTGGGGTCTCCTAAGAATTAACCGCTACTAGTATATGTTTGATTTTCCTGCTTAAAAAAAAATAAAGCATTCTTTTATAAAGATTTAATCAGTAATTTTACTTCCAAGATTGATAGGAGGATAACCCTATTCAAGTGAAAGGTCGTGACTTATGTAATAGTAATATTATTTTGAAATTCTTCAATTTATGTACTACGGATATTATATACACGCATTATTTCATAGAAAAATGGCACACATATTATCTCTCAATACTTATTGGACAAAAATATGACTCAATTATTTTTTGAAAAAAAAGTGTTCGACCTTCCGCTTCTTCTTCTAAAAAAAACCTTTCGCTTCTTCTTCTAAAAAAATCTTCCTCTCTTCATTCCTACTTCTGCGCACGAACCCCAGGGACTGAGCAAGACTTCGACGCACAGAACAGCCAAAACAACGTGCATCTCCTCCGTGCACAGAGCAGCTAGACCACTACTTCCTCCGCTGCCTTGACCATCTCTATCGCCCGTCGTTGCATTGGCCGTCGCCTGTTGCCATCGACCGCGCTTGGCATCTCGTTGGCTGATCTTATCTTTCTGTTGCCATCTCGATACCCACGCCAATCTTCTTCTCCTTCTTCAATTTGTTTCCGGTCGTTGGGGGGTCAAAGGGGTGAAGAGGTGTTTCAGATCTAGATTCGGAATGGGGTGACAGCTAGGGTTAGCGGGGTCGCGGTATGGCTGGTGGGGATGCGATGGGGTCTGCTATTGGCTACTTGGGGAAGTGGTGGGAGAAGGGATGGTCACCCGTCGTCGTCGTTGGCCATCGGGGGCTGGGGTGATTGCCACAGCCTTTGGGAGCAGGGGAGGGGGCGGATCTGAGCTTGGTCAGGTTAGGGCTGGGTCTGATGCTGAATCAGGTTGTGGCTGGTGGAGTTGAGGAGGCTAGGCGGTGGTCACTGGATGAAGCGGTGCGGCGGTGGTCATTGGGCGGTGCCAGAGGCAGTGTCACTGTGGTCGCCGGTGGTGCCACTGAAGTGGTATCATTGTGGCCGACGGCAGTGTCACTGTGGTGATGTCGCTATGGTCGGCAGTGACGACCGACAACGATAGTGACAACTGGCAATCCGACAGTGACATGAAAAATGGGCAGTTACATGGATATTTGACAGTCATTTCACATTTCTCCAAATATATAACCATTTTGATCACACCTTTGTCTAAATGTAAATGTGGTCACATGTTTGGAAATTAGCTTTACTTTAGTAATATTCATGGGAAACTCCTATATCATAAAAATTTTCCGTTGAGGTTTACATTCATAATATTGTGGGGACTGGTTTGATTTCTTGAAAATAAGAAAGTAAAAATAGTTGGAAGCTAGAACTGGACAAAGAACTAGCACATGTTCAACTAAAACTCGTGTCACGCACACTGTCCTAAAAACTGATTCGTTGTCTCCCACGGCGTTAGGAGTGTTGCACGTCAGTTAGAGCTTTTTGTTTGAGAGAACAGTGCAGTAATTTCCAGTGTACGTTTGTGTGATGTGTTCAACATGCTTTCCAAATAGTTCTGTCAAGCATATATAGAAAAGGAGGAGCCAAAGTATTAAATATGCAATAATACCACACTTATTGTGGTGAACCGCCCATTAAACACGTCTTAATGAGTTCGAACGTTACAGGTCATTAATCACACAATCAAACCATGCATTAATCACGTATTATAGTATCAAAACGTTGACCAACGTTCAAAACACTTGCAGTTCCAATGATAAATTAAAACCATTAAGCGATGATAGTTCTACGTTTAGTTCTAGCTTCAGAGTTTTCCAATTTCTCCAGTTCAACAAGTGAACTTCAAGAATCAATTTCTCAATCACTCGTTATCCGTTTCGCATGTACCACATATGTAATTGAACTCCTTATAAATAAGAAACCAAATTCACTTTGACCCTACCCAAATTGGAAGTGGATCTCACTCAAAAATTGCTAGAAAGTAGTCATTTAATTTAATGTAATACTCTCTTAGTCCCAATTTGTAAGACATGTTTCATATTCACTTGGTCAACATAAATCACTCTTAATCATTTACTTTATATATCAAAATTTTATGAAATTTGAATTTTTTTGCGGGCTTTGTAGCGATTTTAATATAGTTTTTGAATATGTAAATTTTATTTTCTAAACATAGTTTGAGTGTAGACAGAGAACAATTTGCTTTATCACCGGTCACCCATTTTTTTATCATCCAACCCAACTAATATATTAACTCAAAATAACGTTCATCACATGACTGATAATACAATCAAAGAAAAAGAAGTAAACAAAGCGATAAAAAGCCTTATGTCTGCCGTCTGCCCTCGAATCAGACTTAAAATATATCACCTCTGTAGAAGTAATAATATTCGTTGATCCTGTAATTGGCTTAACTGAGCCAATGACTAGTAAACCAGACTTTTCATCACTTGACTTAAAATCTAGAAACTCTCTGTTAGGAAATACGAAAACGTCCAAAACAACATGCAATTCTAAATAAAAACACAAACATAATAAAAATGAATTAAAACAGCGTTCACTCATCTTCTTCCAAACCCTAGACTTGCTTGCACTCCATTGCGGCGGCTCACGAGGGGGACGCGCCTGCCGCTCATCCACCTCTATAGTCATGCTTTTGTATTGAATGATGATATCCTCTTTTGCCATCCCTTGCTGTTGAATCGAAACCATACTCCGCCACAACTTATCCACCTTTTCATTGTCAACACTCGACCTTCGACCAGAAACAACAGCAGAAGTTGAGCCCTGGCCGCCATAGCGTTGCATCCCTGGTCCCGAGCCTGCTTGCACGATCGAAAACGATCATCGGTCGCTCTTCGTCGATGAAAAAGCGGAAGAAACAAAACCCTAACTCGTAGGGAGATGACTGCTAGAGAGAAGACTCTCCAATTCCAACAATTGGCCGGAAAACCCCAGCCTCGCTCCCCGGCAAAGGCCGATAGCGGACGAATCCAAGCTAGCGGTTACCTTGCGGCAACCCTAGAGAGAAGGACGAATGATTGCAAAAAGGTTGAATGTTTATTTCCTTTTTTATCGATCAAACATTATAAACCGTAAAATGTCTTACAATTTTTCAAACACATAATACAAGATTAATAATTACATACAAGAGTATGTATCGAGCCACTGTAGGCGTAACTAAGAGAGAAACTCGTGCTAAAAATTGTGTAAGACTTCTATTAAATAATTTTTATACTACTACTGTTTTTTGTGATTATGAGCTACAGTACACGGCAAATAAAAAAAACTAATAACGGATATATCATCGAAATGAAGGTAGTTAATAAAAATATAATTTTTACATTAGTAACTAAATACTCACCTTAATTCAGTGATCATAACTACGCTCAAATCTACATCGTAATGATCAGGAGCAGAGGCAGGGCACTGGTCCGGGCCTGGTCACGACAAAGAATATTTTTGGAAAAATATTTTACACATAATTTTTTACACTAAAAATATAGACGTTTTGAAAATTTGGGGAGGCCCAGAACCAGGATTGCCCCCTAGCTACGCCCCTCGTCCGCCGCGTTGACTGTGTCCCCGATGCAGTTTGTTCGCCTCCCTGATGTGGAGGTTGTGCCACCGGTTGGGCTTGTACCTGACCCGCAAACGCCTGTGCATGAGGAGACTCCTCTGATCCTGAGAACGCATGTACTGAAGATTCTGCTCCTGTTCAACCAACTTGGTCCGAAGTTTCTCAAAAGTGAAGCTCTCCGGAAAAAGACCAACTAAGGTAATAAGAGACTCATAATCCCGGCCCAGACCAAGCAAGATACATTGGAATAATTCACGAGTAGAAACGAGAACATTAATGGCAGCTAAATTACCTGCAATAATTTTAGGCTATGTTTGGCAAGCCACATAAGCTCAAAAAGGGCTGAAATGTTTGAAATCAAGTCAATTTTTATACAAATAATGTTGTTTGGATAAAAGGCTGAAATGAGCTTGAGCTGAAAAAACTCAACTGAACTCAAACACTTAGAGGAGCAACGTTTCATTCGGTCGGGCCCTTCTTTCCCGTATTAGCCCCAACCTCATTACAATTCCATCTTTGCTGCAAGTGTGCGACTATCACAAACAAAGGAGAAACTTCAAACCTAGAACAACGAGAGGGATCAAGAGACGATGTCGCAGTGGTGCCGGTGGCCGGTGCTGCACCGGTAACGGAGAAGACACGGGTCTCTGATGCAGGAAGGGATCTATCCTAATTCCCAAAAAAAGACATAGTTGGCCTAGAAGATGATTAAAAATGGCGTCTACACAACTTGCCAGCCTGCCAGGGCCAACGAAGAAAGAAAAAAATCAAAGAATCAGGAGCAAAATAAAATTATGTTCCTATATATTCAACTTGTTTTTATTTGAGCTTGAATATGCGCACGGCAGAAATCAACTTGATTTTAGTGGTGTAGAAAAAATTATATACAGTAGTAAATACAAGCATATATTTGTGTGTATGTATATGTTAACTGTTTTTGGTTTATAAAAATTATAAAAATACTTACATACTCCGTAGTATAACATCTTAACTGTTTTTGGTTTATAAAAATTATACCCGTAATAAGTATTTTATCTTTTGATAAATTATACTCCGTATGTCCTTTAATGTAATTTTATATTTTTCCGTCATTCTTTTAGCCTTTCTTCCAAATGAGTCCACCTCATTCGACTAGCAATTCAGATTCAGTTTTTCAAAGTTCAGCTCCAGACAATAGTCTATGGTTCAGACAATAGTCTCTAATTCAGACATTAGTCTCCAGCTCCAGCTTGTTGTGCCAAACATAGCCTTAATGTCTCTAAGATACTGTTCCATGGATTGATTAGGACTATTCCTAGAATGAGACAATTGGCGTTTCAATTCCATGGAACGTGCAAGACTAGCAGACATAAAGTGAGACTGTAAGCGATCCCAAATAGCAAAACAATTCTTTAACTCATGCACCTCAATCAAGACAACACGAAACAAAGTCGCGAAAAGCCAAGAACAAGTAGTTTGGTCCAGTTTTAACTTTTAAGCAATGACTGTATTCAGAATTAATTGTCTCATGATGATAAATATCATAATTGTAGGGAAGAGGAGCAAGGATCAAACCATCTAAGATACCATAAAACCATGAGACACCAGAAACGATTCAAACTGAGTACGCCAAGATAGATAATCTTCCATAGCAGCTAATTTGGTAGTGACAATATTTGTGACATTTAGAACCGAAAAACCAACATTTGTAACCAATTCGACAAAAGAAGAACCGAGAATCATGGGGCCCGTAGAGCTAGGACCGATGATGCCCGGAGAAGAAAGTGGTGTGACACCCGGAGCACCGGCAAATCTGGAAGACCCTTCGGATGGGGACCCTGTGCTGCCGCTGGAGAACACCATGGGAGGTGGCGTCGTCCGGTGAGGAAACGTTGTCTGCGTTAGAGTCCAGGTAAACACTGACGGAACCCACGATGCAACATCCGAGGAAGAGAAAAGTGCAAGAGGCGGCTGCATCGTGCTAATTTGAGAGATCACTGCCTCACTACTCACTAGCGTCGAGAACAAAGAGGCACTCGAAGAGGGTTCTGTCATGGAAGCAGAAGACTCCGTGGAGAAGAAGGGTCCTAATGCCATTGCTGCTATAGTATAGACCGGAGCTGACATCGGAGGTGGGGCGTGATGGCCGGCGGCAGTAGAGCCTGAGGCGGCGTTGGAGTCAGCCTCGGCGGAAGACATGATGGCCGGAAAAAAAAATAGGGTTAGATGCTTATGCCTCTTGATACCATGTGCATATATTTCTTAAACAAGAGTAATTACTCTCATGTTAGAAAATGGAGTGTTTCTTTAAGGAAAATTACTCTAAATAAGACTAAAACGTTCGAATATTCCACATAGAACTATTATATTTTTATTCCTTAAATAAGAGTAATTACTGCCATGTTTTGGCATTACCAGATTGTGGGCGTGTTTGGCATTTAGCGAATAGCGAATTATGTTAGCGGGTTGTAAATAGCAGATTCAGTCAGTGGTTTGACTAGCGGAATAAGTTGGCGGGTTACCAGAAAATGTTTGATAATTTAGCAGTTTGGCATGATAATTAGTAGAAAAAGCCTTATTTCAAAACGCCAATCCAAAACCTTCCATTTTGCAGCGTTTTTATTTCAGCGGTTTCGTCCAAAAACGCTAGGGTCAAACAACTATTTACCTAAAAGCATTTTCACTTATTGAAAACGCTAAAATGGGTCAAACCACAATTTTTTTGCTGAAAGTCTGAAACGCCGTTTTCCAAACACCCCTTGTAAATATGACAATATTTTTCAAACTTGACTGTAATTAGAATGTTTTCTTTTGGAGTTCTTTCAGTCCCAGACCAGACTATACTTTCATAGTTATAAAATACACAGAGACCAGACATTTACTAGACCAGTTTAGACCAAACTAGACCAAATCAGACTAGACCAGCAAATTTTAGTCCAAAAGAAAACATCCTTACTCCTACTTAGGAAAATAGAAACATGACTGACAATCCTATTTTGAAATTTGCAAACGTTTTTTTATCCTATTTTGAGAATTTACCATTTCTTAAATACGAAATTAAATTGTATTTTGCGTTTCCACTGATTTGTAGGAAAATTCCTAAAACGAACAACCATGAAGAGCGACAATCCTATCCGCGCGTGGAATTGCATATGCAGGATGATGGGCAAGTGAGTAACTCCGTACTACTTTCATTTCATAAGCCGCTAATTTCTATGGGAGCATTTGCAATAGCTTAAAAAAAGCTTTTCTCGCCTTTTGGCTTAAAAACAAAAAATTAGTGTTTTAAGTGATCATTTCTGCTTAAAAAAGCACTTCTCAGTTTTTGGGTGAAAAATGTTTTTTACTTTTTCTATTATTATACAAAAACACGTATTTTACCAAACATCGCCAACTTTTACTATTAATAACTTTTTCCAAAATCACTTTAAAAAGTGTTTTTTAAGCAAAAGCATTTGCAAACACTCGCTAGGCATCCTAGGCTTTTAGTTGATGTTCGGTAAAGATCAATTCAGTTTTTGTTTCAACTTATAAGATTAGTTAAAAAATAATAATTTAAATAATTCAAACTTTAAAGTATAAATATCCTAAATTTACATATGTAGTATAAATATTAATTTTATGAAAAAGTTAATATCCTAATTTTACATATGTAGCATAAGTATTAATTTTATAAAAAACTTATCTTGACACCACACCTATATTTTTTCTTCCCTAAATGTAAAGTTATGGTGTTAAGTAAATAATTAAAATATGTATAACATTTATTAAGGTGTCATAAACATTCATAACCTCTATTCGTGATATAAAAACATTAGCTTTGAGGCTTTGATCTAGATAGTTACAACAATTTTAATTTTATATTTGTTAATAACCTACTTTAATCATTTTTTTGCAACAAACACTACTTTAATCATTAACTATTAATAAAGAGTATAAAAACGCCATTTTTTTTGAAATTTTAATCCGCGGCAAAGTTTAAATATTTTATATAGGGAAATTGTTTTCAAAACAAATAAAATAACGGATATGGCACAGATCTTTGACACAGACTCAAAAAAATTCACAAGGGATTTGACACGAGTTTGACACGGATACGCCAAATTTGTGCCAAATTCGTGTCAACATTGTTTTATCACGAGCTATTCGGCACAGTAACATGTCAAAAATATGTTATGATTCGTGCCAAAGTCGCTCAATCTATATCAATTCCGTGCCAATACCGTATTTTTTGTAGTGTTTATACAATAATGAAGAAAATAAAGTCAATGTAGAGTGCGTGGACAATGTCAAATTCAATTAAATATGTTAATGGTGAAAATCGTGTTGAAGTGATCTTCAAATTTAAGGTGCTGCAACTATGTACATCGATCAGAGGTAATATTATTTTTCCGCAATGGAAGTTCAAAATATCAACTTTATTCTCACAAGTTTGAGGTTATGTATTACATATATAAGTTTGGGGTACTAACTTTACACTCATCCAAAGTTTGAGGTATTTGAATTATTTTACCGTATTCGTTCTTACCTTCAAATATCTGTATATATAATATAGAGTATGGTGAAGGATCAAGTATACATTTTGGAGTGAAAAGAAGTGGAAATTTCTTGTGCTTGTGAAATATTTAATAACTTATATGGAGTAATTAAAAACAATCAAATACTATGTTTAACTCTAATTAATAGTTATAAATTATACATAGAATATTGTAAAAACTAGAATAAAGGCAATAAGTTTAAATAATTACAAAAACTTTAGAAACATAAGAAGGTTTCTCGGATTGCTTTGATGTCCCTATGGTTAGAGTTTTAAACTTTCCAAAGGGTATCATCTAGCTTATCAGATCAAGTTGGTGTTAGACAAGTATGTAATATTAAGTCTTTATTAGGTCTTTATGACCGTTAGAAGTAATAAGTCTTATGTCTTTATATATCTGTACTCGCCTCTTTATGTAATAACTCAGAGAGAGAGAGTTTATCTGTTTTTGAAGTCTCTTAATACAAAACTATTCTTACATGGTATCAGAGAGGTTGCTCAGATCTCGGGATTTCGATTTCACTCTGTTAGGAAAACCCTAGTTTATTATCCAGCGGACCATTAGCACCAAAACCCTTCCTTTAGCCATTTCAGATCTTCTTCATCATCTGAAATCTATTTCCCTTCCTAGTCTTCTCAATCTTTCTGTTGAATCTTCTTCAGAAGTCCCTTTACTCGTTGGTTAAAAGCGATTGTCCAAAGGACAATATTTCAGATCCATGGAAAATACAAAACTACTGTCTCTTCCGATTACTCTCAAAGGAGGAGAGAATTACCTTCTCTGGTCAAGAACGGCCAAGACGGTGTTGGGTGGAAGAGGTCTGTGGAGTAATGTGGAAACTACCAAGACTCAAAACGACGACAAAAAAGAAGATACAACCCTTGCTGTAGCTAAAGAGAACAAAAGGTTCCAAGAAGACCAAGCTGTTCTGGCCTTGAAGCATACTCTTACTGTGAGAATGCAAAGGAGCTTTGGGATTGATGGAGTATATGGCCCAGGAACCCTCGACCCATAGACTCCTACTATTCTAATGAAGGCCCAATAGGCCCAGGAAGCACAGCAGGCCCAAATCACGGCGCCCCAAGTACTAAGCAACCAACGTGGCACACTAGGGAAGCCTTCGCCCCCCTGGCCGAAGGCTCCAATTCTCACAGGATGGCCAAATCAAGAAAACAAAGTCACTGGGAGAAAACGGCGAAAATCAGTAGCCCTCGGCACCTAGAGCCCTCGGCACTAAGGAAGTCCCCGGTACTCAGAGCCCTCGACTAATCATCTACAGCCGAGGGCACCTTTTCCGACATAATACCCGTCCACATGCGCAGGGATCACCGTACCAAGTACGACGTCCCATCCAACAGCCGCATTAAATGCGGCCACATGCGATTGCCAACGCCAACCAGTTGAGGTGACCCCTCGGCCAATGGATGCTTGACACGTGTCCCTATCTGGCATTTATTGCTACTATAAATAGCACCTCATTTCCCCATTTGTAACCCAGAAGCAAATACGCTGAATACATTTCTAATATACTCTCTCTCTCTCTACTTACTTGCTCTGACTTCTCTCTGGTTATTCCCCGTAATAACCCTTCAGATAAGCTACCCCCGGGTATACTATCCATCATTTGGTGCTTTCATTGAGAGGTCGAATAATCAAGTAAGAAACCCTCCCCCTCGCCAAACACAAAACACCTACCTAAAATGGTGAGAACAACTCGTGCCAACTCCAAGAATGTTGAGGACAGGAACCTAGCCCTCGGCGAAGTCGACATCCCCGAAGCCTCTAACAGGGCTCCAAGGGGCGGCTTCGTCGCCGGGTTGGACCAGACGGCTGTCGACCTACGCCATCAGATTCAACAGAATACCCTCGATGCCCGCCTCGGCATCGAGGCCAAGAAGAAGGACCAGAGCGAGAATCAAGTTAGCCCTCTGGTCATCACAATCGACGTACAATCGGCGTTTTCCGCCTTCATCCAGACGCTCACCCAGAACCCGGGTGCCTTCGGCATTTTGGTCCCCCTCCAACCTCAGGTCGGGGAGAATATCATGCCCCCCCCTCATCCACACCCCCCTCGGGAACCCAGTCCTCCGGGTTGGGAATGTCGAGGGGGTCGTGGCCCAAGATACGGCCTCCCAGGAGGTCCAGTCTCGGGACCGCCACAACGTGAACAAGGAACAACCCGGACCTCCGCCCTCGAGAGACTCGGAGGGACGCAAGACCGCCGAGGGGTCCAAGACCGCCTAGGGGGGAAGGCGTTCCAGAGGCCTCAGGAAAGTGGCGGGTCTGTCTCCAGGGCCAATGAAAGACGTCCCCCTCAGGACAAAGGCAATGCACCTCTCCATGTCGACGACGCCCGTCACCAAATCAACCAGGCCCACTCGGCCCGTGTCCATTCGCAGGGGGCGGAGGCCCTCCCGAAGGACCCCCAAGACGAAATCATGGCGGCCCTCCAGCACCGGCTTGACGAGATGGAGGCCACCAAAGCACACGCCGGCACTTCTGCCCCTCATACGGACCTCAAGTATGAGGCCATGTTGGCCAAGATGGAGGAAATGCAGAGGAAGATAACCGAGGGCTCTGAGGAACCCACCATACAGCTTCGGACCCGGACGCCATTCACCCCAAGGGTGTTGGCGGCCCGGATCCCGGAGAAATACCGAGGGCAGCTCATCAAGCCCTACGACGGAAAAACTGACCCCCAGGAGCACTACAGCAGATACCAAAACAACATGATGATGGTGGGGGCATCAGATGAGTATTTGTGCCGCTGGTTCCTCTCCACCTTAGAGGGGCCGGCTTACGAATGGTTCAATCGATTGCCCGAAGGCTGCATTGACTCATGGCAAGAGCTCGCCCAACGATTCTTGACGCAATTTGCGGGAAGGCGCCGCACAAGAAAGCACTTCTCCCACTTGCTGACAGTAAGGAAAAGGAAAGAGGAGACCCTTCGGGACTTCTTGGAGCGCTGGAGAACGGAGGCTGATAAAGTTGATGGCGTCGATGACGGGACCCTCCTGGCCCTCCTCCAAACAGTACTCCTCCCCGGGAACTTCTCAAGGAGCCTCATCATCGACCCCCCCCCCGCAATTATATAAGGGCCCTACAGTGGGGGGACCAGTATGTCGAAGCCGAGGAAGTGGAGAAATGCCATCACATCCCCGATCAGCAACGCCCTCGGCCAGACGACAGAGGCAACCGGGGGCCAAGGGCTCCCCGTAATCAACCTAAGGATTCTGCCCCCTCCGGTGATCGCCCCCGGAACGGCTAAACCAAGCCCGGGGGAGGCTACAAGGGGAACCCGAGGGCTTGGGCACAACCTGTTCTCCTGGAGCACCCTCGGACATCCTTGACGCACCCCGTCAGCGGCATTCTTGATTTCGCTGAGGAGAGGGGCCTGGTGGAGCGAGATTCCCGCGCACCCCCGAAAGTATATGCCATCAATCCAAACTACCCCTACTGTCGCTTCCACCGGCATCAGGAGCACAGAACTGATGACTGTCATCAGCTGAAGACGACCATCGAAAGATTAATACAGGCGGGCCATTTGTCCCAATTTATTCAAGGCCCTCAGCAATAAGCCCCCCCTCATCAAGGGCCACCCCGAGGGCAAACTGCGAGAGCAAATGCATGGG